GGGCAAATTTCCTGGCTCTACAGCTAATTAGTGTTATTCATCCATCGGCTCAACCCACTGAACACAGACCGCTAATTAACATTAAAAGAGTCTGGAGGTCATCAGAAGAACAGCAGACATTACAGATTGCTCCAAAAATCTAAACAGTGATTTCTGACTTATCAAGGTGCTCCCTGATTTTCACTTCACATTTTAACTCAAGATGAATTGTTTATAACAAGTAATTTAACAACAAAATGTTTATTTTTAGTATTAAAGGGATTTTTGTTTTGGCTTTTTATATAATCTCTTATCTTCAGGGACATTAGGTCCATCAACTGCTTGAGCTCCTCTGTAGCAGCAAATTACCAATTTAAGACAACTGCGTCAAAGGAATACTGAGATATAACTGTTCTTTCCATTTCTAAATCAAAATAAAAAATCTGGTTTATTGAAGGTAGAGACTTCATTCAGGTATTGTGGTGCCTATAATTCAATGTATTTTATCTTAGAATTGTTAACACAAATCTAGAAAATACAAATGAAAATAAAAAAAAGTGCATGTAATCACAAACACAATCCAGAATAACAAATAAAAATAGAATTAATCTGATCTGTAAAGAGATTCAAAATATGTTAAATGTAATCTCAGTAAGAAAGAAATAAACTATTTGTCCTGAACACAAAACTCGGTCTCTATGCAAGAGAATCAAGAATCTTAATAGTTCAAATGAGGTAAAAAATCAGTTCTGCAAAAATTGTGGCAGAAAACATGTGTAAATTAGAATAGCTCTTGGAGAGCACAGGTCTCCACCAGGCTGCAAATGTTGCCCCATATTGTGACTTACACCTATAGTCAACAAGGGGGGTGAGGTTGCTTGAGGACCCAAAAGCAGAGATAAGTTCTTATAGATTTAATGCAAACATCGAAAACACAAAAATACTGAGAACCAAAGCAAAGCCTTCTCTCGGTTTTACATTGTATCGCAGAATGTTTGTGCTGCACTTTCTTTTCACAATCAAAACTTTGTTGGTTAAAAACTATAAGCAATCAAGTTGCTTTTTATGTGCCTCAACTTTGTAAAGTTTTTTCAAAACTTCTGTGGACAACTGACTAGTGTCAGTCATGATAACAGTAGTGTCATCCTTCAACAGCACAACTCCTGGGAGATTTCAGAGCAAGACATCAATTACATGTGAGACACTTGCTTGTCTCCTTGGGTACCACGGATTATTGTCAGGATGGGAGGGCTGAGGTGCAGGCGCATTACAGACTGTGAGAGATAAACACTGGAAGCAATTCAATGTTAACTTACAGAGGACAGACACAACAAACATCCTGATGAAAATAACATAAACAAATAACAAATAACATAAACAAAACAATAAAAATAAACCAAGAACTATAAATACATCCAAATAAATGCATAAAAAATCTAAAGCTTACACCTATTAATTATTATTTTTATTATGATTTTAGTTCTAATTTTGCTTAATAAAAAAGAAAATGAAGACAGTTGTTGGGATATATTGCCACAATGGAGCCAAATCAATTTGATGAACCACATCAAACCCTCCCCCTCCCTTTTCACTGGTTCTGCAAAGTTCTGGAAACTTCCAGCCAAGGGACAGTCAACTCACGTATGGACCAATCAGCTGACAAGAAGGCTGGAATCCCAGCAGGAAATACCCCTGCATCATTAAGTGTTTAAATCCAAGCGAGGAAAGGAAATTGGTCTCTTCCCTGGGTTTTGCCAAAGATAGCTAGCTGAAAGTGGCCTTCATTTTCCTGCGTCAAAAGTCACGGATCGCAGTGACCCATCGTGCATACTGCCTGCTGAACTGGGAGAGACGGGGATCTCCGAAGCTAAACACTTTGTGGATTTTCCCCCCTTTGTGAGGACCTCCATAGTAATCACGGCCTATCTGCAGGGGAACGCCCTTGCTTTCGGTAGCTGTAAGCAACCTTCCACAATTTTAAAAAGCCCATGAAGTTCCCCTGCTGTAGCATCAGACTGATGAAAAATATCTTCTGAGAACAGACCCCGGTGTGAGACGAACCCTGCAGAGTCCACGCCCCTCCCCCGGGACTTGCCAATTCCGGTGTTCTGTGGCTAATGCCACCCTCAGGCCACCCTCGTGAAGTCTGTTTCAGATTTTTTGGTCAGAGACATTCACACCTGCTGGAGGTCATTTTGTAGGGCTCTGGCAGTGCTCCTCCTGCTCCTCCTTGCACAAAGGGGCAGATACTGGTCCCGCTGATGGGTTGTAGACCTTCTACAGCCCTGTCCAGCTCTCCTGGAGTAACTGCCTGTCACCTGGAA